AAAAGTAGGGGCACCCAGTGAGGATGGAACTCAGTCGTAATTGTTCTAGCAAGACAAGATTGCTAACCATTACACCACCTCAAGGTGCCCCTTTCTTTCCATATATCTCAACTTTCCTTCTCCTTCTCACTTTTCCTCTCTCCCCTTCTCATTCTCCCACATTATCCCCTTATCTTCACTCCCTCTCTTTTTACTTCTCCTCTTCTTTTTTCCTTTCTCATTTTCCTCCTCTTCTTTCTCTCCTTCTATCTCACCCTCATTCTACTTCTTTCTCCTCCTATTTTCTATTTTCTTCTATCCTATTTTCTTCTCCCCTTCTTTTTCTCTTTCTCTCTTAACGCAGTTTATATTCATTCACCTTCTACCAATTCACTTGACAACTTGATAATAGCTCTGGTCACTCAATGACCAACCACTGACGACTCTCTTACATGAAAGTCTATTGTCCATATTTAATCTTTCTTTCTCATCAGTTGTCTATAATGGTTACTGAAGGGAAGACATCTCATGAATCATAATCCAGGAAACAATTCCATATAAAATCATTTTCTCTGTTTCTTATTAATAATGACAGTATCAGCATCATCGACTTCATTTTTTTATTATTTTTTACTAGATAATTTTAAGTAAAAAAATATTGCTGGCTACTTTAAAACTATTGTAGTATTCTCATGTTTTTTTCTATCTTATTCAATTTCACTATTCTCTCATCATTGTGATTATGGTAGCTTTTTGTCCACTTCTTGCATAACCAACATGTGTATAATAATGTTTTCAACATGATTTATTGGCTCCAGTTTCAGTATCTAAATAGTATTTTTGTAAGAATATTTTATAAGCATTTAAGTATTTTATAAGGTTTTAACATATTTCCTTTTTGTTAATCTTAGAAGCATCCATTTTTTATAGCCCATCGCTATGCTATTGCTATTTTTAAATGTTCAGACAAACTACATTACTGAGTTCCACCAGTCCAGACCTTCACAGCTAGGATCTATCATATGTACACAGGGTCAAATTACTGTACTTCCCATCACATTCTACTGGTAAAGAGGAAATTCCACTCGGTCAGTTTGCTTTTAGTCTGTGGAGCAGACTCATAACAGGATGCTTCCTTGATCATGGCAGTATTAACCTCTTTGAGTCTAGAGTTAACCATTAATTATTCTGCATATTCCTATTGTTATGTTTTGCATATCTCTCTGTGTAGTAGTAGTCATAGTACAGTTCTCCATGTATTGAATAGCCCCTTATGTTCGCCAGTTGTTCTCTATTTATACTTGTCTATCAAATTTGCATAGGATACTACACTCATAATATGTACTTCTTACCTGCTCCCTTTACAATCTTACAACAACCTAATTCAGTAACACTTTAATTTGAGTGGCTCTTTAATATTCAAAATACAATCCATTTAAAAACCTTAAGCTAGGCTGTGACACTCTTTGTTGTTGAGTGGTCTAAAGCCTGTCAGATCAGACTATGGTTTTCCCTACAAAGGGGGACACAGGTTTCAACTTTGACAGAGAACACATTTTCTTTATTTTTTTTCAGACTGGTAGACATAATTGACACTAATTGATACTGAGACATCTGAAAGAGGCATGGCACGTGGATTTAGAACAGTCTACCTCTGTGGATGAAATAAAGGGCTCAGTTCAAAATTCCAATCATCGTCGTGAATATGGCAATGAAGATGAGGACTGCAGTTCAAACAATGTAAATAGTGTAAATAATTTCAATACCTCATCCCAGAAATATAGACAGATATAATTGACACTGTTCAAAATAAACTAAAGAAAAAACAGAGCATCTACTGAGATATCTATATCCACAAAAGTAATGTTTAGAGCCTAGGAGGACAAACTTTTTTTTTATGGAAAGCCACATCATTATTGGCACTGCATAAAGCAGATTGCATCACAATAACAACTTGAATCTCACAACGGCAATATAAATAGCAATCATATATGTGCATGTTTATTTTGTCACCCAGCTTGTGCACTCAAGTAAACTTAATAAAGAAAATGTGTCCTCCAGCAGGATTTGAATCAGCATCCCCCTTTGCAGGCAAAATCACTATTTGATCTGGTATTCTTTAACTGCTTAGCTATGGAGAGTTTCACAATCAAGCAAGGATCTATTTGCCTTTAATACACATTCACTCTTTCAGATTTTCTCGAAATCTATATCTGCTCAGGTTTTTATCTGAAAAGTAAACAAAGCAATTTCCAAAGAAAAATTTTTCTTTTAATCATTTCACTCCAAGCAAGGCAACAAAGCCACTGACACATAGGGGGTTACTGAGTGTGAAAGAATATAAGAAAAACATTATTAAGGAGTGAGAGCAATAGAAGAAAAGAAATTAAGAAGCTACAAGATAATGATTGATATTGCATTTAAATTTTTGAACATCAAACTTGACTGGAAAGCAAGAAGCTTCAAAATAAAATCCATTTAAAAATGTTCATCAATACTTCAAAATAAAATGCATTTAATGACCTTAAACTGGACTGTGACACACTTTGTTATTGAGTGGTCTAAAGACTATGGTTTCCCTTACGAAGTGGGACACGCTTTTCTGCCAGAGTGCGCATTTTCTTTGTTAAGCTTTTCAAATCGACAGACTGGTAGATGTAATTGGCACTGTTTAAAATAAACTGAAAAAAACAGAGAATCTACTGAAATGTCTGTATCCACAAAAGTAACGTTTAGTGCCTGGGAGGACAAACTTTTTTCATGGAATGCCGCAACATTATTGGCCGTGTGTAATGCAGGCTGCATCACGATAACAACTTGAATATCACAATAGCAATATAAGTAGCAATCATATATGTTTATGTTATCTGTGCATTTATTTGCTTGTTAGGCACATTTTATGAACAGGTTGCTCAAATGTATGAGAAATTAGTTTAATGTTTAATGCATTTTCTGCTATTAATGAGACTTGTGCAGCTGAGAAAAAAAACTTTTCAATAATAAGAAATTCACAATAAATCTTGTGAGACGTTTATAATGAATTGAAGAAATGACATCATGATTATCTTTAATTGGAGTACTCACAGGCAGCTTGATCCCTGTATCACTTTACACTGTATAGATGATTGACCATTGCACAATGTGGGATGTACCAGTCCAGGTACATAACACAATATGTTTATTTTGTAGGAAGTAAGTTTATTGAAAACTGGAATTTTCTATTATGGTTTTCATCTTTGTTCTTGTTTAAATAGATTACTCTTTTATGATACATGTAAGTAAAAATATTTAAACTGGTTTAAAAAAAAAATAATGTTTGTTGTTCTCTTGTGGGCAGTATAAAATCATTAAACAGGCCATAGTTTGATGTAATAAAAACTAATATCAGATTAAAAATAAATACATGTTGCTCAACTGCTTTCTTGAGAGCCTGTAGTTTATAATGCTCCATAAGTTTTCGATGGGGTTGAGGTCAGAAGATTGGGGTGCCCATGTCATAACACTCACCTGCTTCTCATCAAAGTATTCCTTCATCAATTTTGATTTGGGATAGGGAGCATTATCCTGCATAAAAATGAGCTTGGTGGGGTCGATTTACACTCTTTCAGCACAAGGGAGCAGACAAGACTTTAAAATTCTCTTGTACTGCTCGCTCCTGAGGGTCTTTTCAATAGTTTTTAAGAAACCAGTTCCATGAAAAGAAAAGCATGCCCAGAACATTATACTGAATGGATGCTTGACAGTACTTACTGCTAAATTCAAAGAGCTTTCAAAGCTTCTTCTTCAGATTTTAGATCGCTTATCCATTGAATTTAGCTCAACTTTTGTTTCATCGGAGAAGAGAACATTTAGTAAAAAAAAATCAGATGAGCCACTTTTATCGAACAGCACTGTATATTATGAAATGGACTAAGTCTGATAATGATTTGACTTTGCTAACCAAACACTCTATTCACATATACACAATATGGCCGACATGGTACTTCCATGTCTGAACAATAGTTGAAATGGTGCTTCCATTTCCTTAGTTCCCGGTTACAACATCCCTCCCCAATTAGTCAAAATTTATTTAAACAAATATGATTGTCACAAACTGTTATTTAAGTGGGAATGTCCATTTTACTGTTGACTTTGACAAATAAATCTGATACACCAGGTCAAGCTAAAATCTGGGCTGTCAACCCATTAATAACATCACTGGTGACTGACTTGTTGTCTGTGGAAAGGATGTTAGTGAGCAAGGAAAAACAGTAGTCAAGTTTCAAGATAACTGGGAACCTTTTTAACAAACTCTTGACAGATTGTATAGGATGTTCAGCTAGTCCATTTGACAATGATAGTGAACATCGAACATGTTTAATGCCATTCAAGGTGCAAAATTTGGAAAACTCTTCACTAGTAAAACTGCGAGCACTGACACAGTCACATGAAAGCTCCCATATGTGGCAAATGTGCACTGCAATATCTGCTCTGTTACTGCTACTGATGGTGATGAAATGACATCTATGTATTTACTATGAGCATCCATTATCAGAAGAATCCACTTGCCATTGATCTATATGCACTTTAAACCATGCACTTCCTGGCCATTTCCATGGTTGTAACATGCTCGACTGGGGCACATTAGCCTTATCCTGGCACATGAAACAACTTCTTTCACACAGTTTAATGCCTGAATCCAAATTTGTCCACCAGATATGACAACGAGCAAAGGACATCATCTGTGAAATACCTGGGTGACCTTCATGTAATTCTTTAAGCAAAGTATCTCAACACTTTGCATGGATAACCACTTGTGATCCCCATAAAACACAACCCAGTTGTACTGATAACTTCTCCTTCCTGTTTCTGTACAGTTGAAAATCCTGAGATTCATTGTACAGCCATTCCTGTATGATTCCTCTATGCACTTTGGATAACACAGGATACCTAGATGTATGCAAAGCAACAGTTTTCACAATTACAGGAGATGAATCTAAAGCTGTCATAGAATACTACTTTCTCTGGACAAGGTAATATGTGAAATAGTCCTCCACAGATAGTCGACTTAGTCCATTTGCATTAGGAATCTTTGAAGTGGGTTTATATACAAGCTGATAGTGGTAGTTTGAGAGTACCAATGCCCAAAGCTGTACTCTAGCACTTACTCTATGTGATATGGCTTGATCCTCTTTTAAAAGCCCAAGCAAGGGCCTTCCCGTTCTATCTGTGCAAAATTCTGTTCTGCTTTTGATAATGTTCTTGAGGTAAAATAAATTTGATCCATCCACCATAATATGTAACAAAACTGCTCCAATACCAACTGGGGATCTATCCACCATCCTTATAAGTTTAAATTTTAGAGTTGTAATGAACTAAA